GGCTGGCTGGGAGCCTGGCAGGGAGGCTGGCTGGGAGGTTCCCGAGGAGAATCCTGGGCGACCCAGACCACTGGGCAGATGCGCAGGATGCCGCGGTCGTCAGGAAGCGTGTTCGCTGGAGAGAAAAAGGGGCGCAGCGGGCGCGCGGTGATGCCAGTGAAGGTGAAGATGTGCCCACCGTCCGCCACGTCGCAGAAGGTCAGGACCCCCAGCTCGGCGTCCAGCAGGATCCCCAGGCGGCGCAGGCGGGGCAGCAGCCGCAGCTCGGTCATCGGCTCCGTGCAGGCAGCAAAGACCTTCCCAAGCCGCAGCCCCACGGTCCAGAAGCCGTGCTCGGTCGACAGCTGCAGCGGGCCCCGGCGGCTGGCGGCATCCGCACACACCCCCACATCCCACTCACGGCTGGTGCCCACGTCCACCTCCCAGTAGCTGCGGCCAGATTCCAGCCGTGGGGAGCCCAGCACACACGGAGAGTCGAATCTCTCCGCTCCAGAGCTCCCCCGCTGTGCAGAGCCCGCGTAGCGCACACTCCGCAGGTCCGGGGAGATGGCCAGGTGGCTGTGCGCCGTGTCCACGTCCAGTGTCACGTCCACTGTGTGGAGAGAAGCCGGAGGTCAGCGTGAACACGCACGCATAGTGCCCTTTGCCCGCTGCTCTTGCCACTTTTCTCCTCCCAGTCAGAATGTTCCCGGACAGACTTCCTGGGCCTCTGTGAGGTCCCATTTTACGAACAGAACCAGTGAGCATCAGGGTTTCACTATCCAGAGTTCTTTCTACGTTATTGAACTGCCTGATTATCTGTCTTCCCTTTAGGACAAAGGATACATGAAGGAAAATACCACGACTATTACTTGGACTCAAAATCATCGCACAAAGTAGCACAAATTTAGTGAAAATAGAGAGGACTTTAAATCAACTTGGCTTGATTGCAGAATTCTAAGATAGCAAGGTCATTTGCTCTGTAGCTACCTTCCTGTTGAGGCTCGCTGGCTAGGACATTTCAACACAGGCTTTTGCTTTTCTGTAGCTAGAGAGAAAAGAGGAACTAGGTGCCCAAAGCCAAAGTGGGCTAACTGAAGAACTGAGGCTAGAGGGAGCTCTGTGGCCAGGAGCCAGGATGTGCTCAGAGGGGCAGAGGGACCTGGGGAGGATGGCTAGTCTATGGTCAATGTCTCCCAGCCCCAGGGGGTACACAGTGGCTGCTGCTGCCCTGTTTATGCATCTGAGGACTATGGGAGCCTCTGAGTTCTTGGGTCCCTATGATAGGGCTCAGGAAGATGCTCAGACTATGCAGCAGCTGAGAGGTGTGCCCAGGAAAGTGTCGGGACAGGTTTCCCCATCCCACACAGAGGCTGTCATGAGCCAGGGGAACCTGCCAAAGTCATCACCACGGCTGTCCCCAACACATCCAGCACTGAATACTGGACCCTTCTCCCAGACGCAGGAAACCAAAGGAGCCAGCACAGGCACATTGGAATGAGCCCAGCTGCAGGAATCTGCATCCTGAGTTCAGCATGTTCCAAAGGCAGCCAAGCAGTGATGACCCAGCTGAGCTCAGAGCTGTGGGGCAGAGCCTCAGGGTTCCAGGAGGAAAGCACACACCTCAGTGCTCAGGCCTGGAGACCCTGGGAACTGTGCGGGGGCAGACATGCTTTCTTCCCTCGCCCCAGAGCCAGACCACTGGGGCACATTCCCTGTCCCCACCCTCTTGGGGGTAGAGCCACCTTGCAAAGTCCCAGGCCTCACTGCAGAGGGGGCAAGGGGCAGTGGGCTCGGCTCCAGCCATGTCAGAAGCACCGAGCTCTTGTCAGGACTGCAGTTCTCACAGTCCTAGTGCTTCAGAGCCACATGTGCATGTCAACAAGACCCCAAGGACTTCAAGAACTTTCAAATCTGAGGGTCCGTGTTCCAGGAATTGACCCTGCAGAGCCCATGGCCAGGTGATTTGTAATCAAGTCTTACAGGAAGCAGGAGGAAAGAGTACTGAGAAGAAGCTGCAGGTGATGTTAGGAGTGGATTCTACTCGACCTAATACACCTCAAGATGTCTTCCACGTGTCAATAGCCATGTTTCAGGCACCAAACTGCTATCAGTGACATTCGTATCAGTGACATCCACTGTGGGCGCCAGAGTTCTCAGGCACAACCTAAACATTACACTTTGATAAAATTTCCCACATGGTTCTATGTGCACTCAGGTGAAAACAGTTGTTTGTGAAGCCTAGAACCTCAGGGAGAGAATTCAGTTCTTGCACCTACTAAATGGAGAGCCTGCTGGTGGGTGGGGCCGGCAGGTGAGTGGGTGGGGCGGGGCAGCTTCCTTACCTTGGAACTTCTTTATCCTTGGGTTTAGCTGCAGAATGGCTCTCAGCCTGGGCTCCAGTTTCTTGATCTTGGACACTATCCTGTCCAGCTGGACATGGTGCACGGTGCTGTCCTTCTCAGAGAGTATGGAGCACTGGGGGCACAGCACGCCCTCCGCAAGGGGCTCCTTCCACAGGGAGTCGAGGCACCGTTGGCAGCAGACGTAGCCGCATTCCAGGGTCATAGGAGTTTCAAGGTGACCGAAGCAGACAGGACAGGTACATGCTTCTCTGAGGTGCTGTGCCATGGCCGGTGCCCGGGGAAGGACAGAGGTGACGGTGCGTTCCAGAGGCCCAGTTTTCTCAACAGGGAGGGAAGATCACTGCCCACTGGATGGTCACAGCGGCAGGCAAACCCGAGGGACCCTGGGCAGGCGCTGTCGACACCTGAAACGCTGGCAGGAATAGCAGACAGGACTCATCAGGAGGCGGCAGCCCCACAGGGCAGCCCCAGGGCCGGGTGGTTCCCCAAAGCCTCTGGGTGGAGAGGAGCTGAGGGCCAAGCACACAGTCAGTCAGCTTTGAGGACGGGGGAGCACATAAACTATCCCACGGAGGGCCTTTGCCAACTAATTCCACCTGGAAAGGGTGGTTTTGCTAGACTTGTTGGATTTCACTTGAGCTGGCACCTGGAAGATAAATCCCAAATGCATGTGCACCGAGTGTTTCCACTGGACGGAGGAGGTCTGGCCACAAGACCTTTCACTCCCCCAGCTGTCCAGCCTGGAAATGGCAAAACCACAGCCTGAGAGGACACCCCAAAGCACCAGAGCAAAGCCAACTTGATGGCTGTCATGGGCAAACTTGAGAGTTCAGGTGGCGGGGAAGGTGGGCGGGTGCAGCCCTGCTGGAGAACAGCAGGGAGCTCCACAGGAGGTACAAGGACCACATCTGGTGCCCAGCCAGCCACCACCCCTGGCATCTAGTGCACTGAACTCCAGAGAGCACAGCAGAGCGCCTCTGGTGTTTGCTGGGCAGGGCGGGAGTGGGGACAGGGACAGAGCCTGAGGTGGCCCAGGCTGAGGAAGTGGGGACTGAAACTCTTCCCCCAGCTCCTCAGGAGGTCACCCAGGTCCCCACTACTTTTAAGAGGACTGAGACTGCTCTCTCTGCAGCCCAGATAGTGAAAGTCAGATCCCACCTGCCGCAGAGGAGCAGAGGGGCCCTGTTGTGGGATACGGTCCCCTGGGGGGGACCTTGGAGGGTGCTGCTTAGGGAAGCCACCGTCCCAGCACTGGCTCTCTCACAGCCCTGGGCAGAAACTGGAGCAGCAGCAGCAAGTCCGTGAGATTGCACTCACAGGACACCCTCAGGCCCTCAGTGGAGAGCTCCCCTTCATCCAATCAGATCTGTATTCTCTAAGTGAGATCATTTACTGCAGGTGGTGGGTGTTCACTACAAAGACGGAGGTTACTTTGTCTTCAAAATGTTTGTTGAAAACTTAAAGTGGCAAAATATCGCCCTGGGGTGTTTCTAGGTGACCTTGACTGTGGGCCCAAGGGTGAGATTTGGAGTGAGGATTGGCTGAAACTTTTTAGCCATCATGCAACATTGTTGATCTTCTAAAAAGAAGGGCTAGTTTCAGTTTTCCCTGCTGAAGGGGAAATTGTTCCGTGTTTCAGGGGAATTGGTTCAACCTGCTCCAGGATCTATGCAAACCACTTCCCTGGACCACAGCTGCTTCCCCAAAGCACCTTTCCTCCAGAACAAAGGTAACGTAGAAGTTGGTGAGTGAGCCCCAGCCTCTTCCCTGGCTGTCAGTTAGCCAGTGATAGACTTGTAAGTTAGTGTCCAAGGTAAAATATTGCCATATGCATACTATTTCCCATCCACCACAACACAAATAAGACACACGCCAGAAAGAAATGTTTCAGAAACTGTCCTTGTGGTTTTAGGAGAGTCACAGGTGATAGAGATTTGAGGGGTGTTGGGTGCGGTGGCCATGCCTGTAACCTCAACAACTCAGGAGGCTGAGGCAGGAGGATGGCAAGTTTGAGGCCAGCCTGGACAATTAGCAAGACCCAGTCTCAAAATAAAATAAATAGAACTGGGGCTGGGAGCAGTGGCACTTGCCTGTAATCCCAGGAGCTCGGGAGGCTGAGGCAGGAAGATCACGAGTTCAAAGCCAGCCTCAGCAAAAATCAAGGCACTAAGCAATTCAGTGAGACCCTGTCTCTGAATAAAATACCAAATAGGGCTGGGGATGTGGCTCAGTGGTCAAGTGCCCCCGAGATCAATTCCCTGTATTAAAATAAACCAAAACCCAACCACACTGGGGATTTAGCTCAGTGTAGAGCTCCCTGGGTTCAATCCTCAGGACGGTTTAAAAAAAAAAAAAAAAGATTGGAAGGTGAGAATAGAGAACAGACCAGGGTGCTGGGGTGGAGGGCGAGAGGCGGAGCCCATGCTGGGTGTGGAGGACACTGTAGTCACTCACCAGTTCCTGGGCACTCCTGGGGTGCTGCTGCTGTCACGCTGTTCAGCTGGAGGAGTCTGTGCTTCCCTGGATGCACGGAGGCGAGTGCGGAGTGGAAGGCTTTATTAAAGGCAGCAGAGAAGACTTCCGCACCCCGGAGGAAGAGAGGGCCCAGAAGGCAGGATCCGTGCAAAGGGAGGTCTTCTCCCTTTTATATCCTGGGTCTTCTTTGCCCTCCCCCATTCCTGCTGTGATGGCGGATGCAGGTGGGATCCTCAAAAAGTGGGGAACAGGTGGAGCGATGGGGCGGGTGGTGGGGGAGATCTGGGCGGGAAGGGCCTGGGTGGTTTTCTCCCCGTTCTGCTGAGAGCTCCTTCATTAACAGTCTTTAGGACAGCCCGGCCTTGCGGAAGTCAAGATTTCAGTTCCCCAGGTGGTCTTCTGGTTTTCCCTGGCTCCGATTGGACTCCGTTTTCATGATTGGACTTGATATTAGACCCAATTTACCCAACTGCGCTAACTGCCTGTCTTTAAACCTGCTTCCGGGCTGGGGTGGAAGCCAGGCTGGGCCCAGGTGGGGCCAGCGCTCTGGCCCTGAGCCAGCCCAGCCGTCCTGGACGCTCGGTCACTTCACGTCTGGGGGCTTATTTCCAGCTGCCAGCCTGACTGGATTGAGGATTCCTGGAGACCCAGCAGGGCATTTTTTGGGGTACGTCTGTGAGATGAGCCGGAGCATATGAGCACAGAAGTCTGGGTGGACGAGGCAGGGAAGGTCCACCTCAGTGAAGTGGACCCCCAATGGCCCAGGAGCCAGTACAGGACAAATACCAAAGGCAGCCTGTCTCCCTCCAGCCGGGCCGCTGACCCCTTGTGCTGCCTGGGACTTCAGAGCCGGGCTCCTGGGCCTTGGCCCAGCACAGTCTCTGGCAGCCGCAGGACCTCAGGCCTTCTGCCTGGGACAGGGATCCCACCACTGGCCTCTCTGGTCTGAGGCCTTGGGCTCCAGGGAGCAACTCTGTTCCTGTGCAGTGTGGGGCTTCCGTCTGTTTCTGGGCAGACCTTGGAGCCTCTGAAGGGATAGTGTCTTTTCAGAGGTCATGAGTGGAGACGGGGCTTAAGGTCCCCAGGTGACTTCAAGACCAGGAAGCCAAGGCCAGCCTCAGCAGCTAATGAGACCCTGTCTCAAAGCAAAACAAAGAGCGCTGAGGATACAGCTCGGTGGTAAAGAGCCTGTGTTCCAAACCCCAGTGCAATAAAAAATGAACCAATAAGCTGGAATTCCATCCAGGTGCGACGGTGCACACCCTCGATCCTAACAGCTGGGAAGTCTGAGGCAGGAGGATTGCAAGTTCAGGGCCAGTCTCAGCCACTTAGGAAGACGCTGACTCAACATGAGAAACTAAAAGAGCTGGGGATGGAGCTCAGTACAGAATGCTGCTGGCTTGAATCCTGAGTCAGAAAACGAATTATGCCACCTTAATTCTCCTTGCCCCCTTTGGCTCAATGTCTGCATACATTTACAGCTTTAAGCCAAGAGCTGAGGAGTAAGGTGGATGGAGCAGCCATCATCCACAGAGCTCACAGCTTCACCCCAGGGTCAGGGGACTGAAGGTTCAAATAAAACAGCTGCTGGGACCGCAAGGCTCAGGCCTGCTGCTGCGCCTGAGAGGCAACCCTCTGACAGGCAGGCTAGGAGAGGCCGCCTGGAAGATTCTCGCCCGGAGGAAGAACAGAAGGAAAATGGCGCAGGAGAGGAGAGCCGCTTCTCTGAAGCAGCCTGGAGAGGGCTGCCCGTCTTCCCTCCAGGTGACTCTGCTAAGGTGGGATTGCAATGAATCACGGAGTATATCTTAAAGCAAAAGATGGAAGCTTTATTATCAGCTGGTGGTCCACATCCACCAGCTGGTGGGCCAAGGGGTAGGCTGGACGTGTCATGCCAGATTCGTGGGACCCCAATAGACCTCCAGGAGCCAAATACAATGCAAGCACACAAGAGTCTTTATTGCAAGCTCGAGGTGGACTCACAACCATTCCTCATGCAGCAGTCCCAGGGAGTGAGTCCCGGTCCTTTGTCCAGTGAGATTTTATATTTGGGGGATACTCTATGCGTCACAGCATCACACAGCAAATCATTCCATATCGCAGGAAAGTCAGACAACAACTCTTAACATTGACTAGCACATTCACTGGCGGGAACAAGTTGGGTAGGGTGATTGGTTAGTACAAGAGGGGAGTTCCTTTGAACTGATTGGTTTAGGCCATGAGGGGTGTTCCTGCTGAACTACATGGTTTCCCAACTTGTTATCAACCACCATAAACTACTTGGGGGTCATCTGGCATCCCAGGTATTTCCCTGTGTCATGCTGATTGGAGGTTGCTAGGGGGTTGCTAGGGTCCTCACCTAGCCTGACGGAGTCAGGGACACCTGGCGCCTCAGACCTCTCCTGTTATTTACAGACGAACAACTCAGCAGGGTGGGTATGGGCCTAGGATTGCTCTGTGGGTTTTTCCAAGGACAAGGGTCACGCCCCCTTCCTTAGGATAGACCTTGAGGTAGAAGCTGCTGTTATTATTTTCAAAAATGGAGTCACATCAGTTTCTCATCCCCCCTTTGTCTGAAAACTTGGGGACCCATCATGGTTCCCTCAGTTGGGGGTCTATATGGGCAGGCCCTACATCCTGGTGGGATTCTCCTTCTGGGTCTAGGGCTTGAGAGTGGGTACGCCGAACCATCATCTGAACTGTGTCTACTCTGTCCTTGACGAAAGCCACTAGCTTGTTAAGAATACGTGGGCCCAAGGTCAAGACTAGAAGCAATATCACGAGTGGCCCTACTAAGGGGGACACTAGGGTTGCCAACCAGGGGGTCCTGTTTACAGTGACTCAAACCACCCCTGAGGGTCTTCTCTTTCTCCCTTCCTCTTAGCTGGTCCTTCTTGAACTTTGGTTAGGGAGTGGTCAACAGAAAAGCAACATTCCTCTTTTAAGGCAGCCTATAGTCCCCCTCGGTGCCCAGACACCAGGTCCAACCCTCTCCGATTTTGGAGTACATCTTCCGATAGGGAAGTTAGGGTCTCTTGCAAATGGGCCATGGATTTTCCCAGCTCTTGGATGTCTAAGTCCACCGCTTCTCGTAAGCCGTCGTAGGACTGCTTGGGGGTGACCGTGGAAGCTACTCCTGTCCCTACTCTGGCTAGACCCAGCAGCGTTCCCATCGTGGTTGGAACTTCAGTTATTGGCTCTGAGTGTTCTGGGAAGCCCTTGCTCGTGGGCTAGCAGAACTTCATCATTAGAGTGACGAGTTCTCTTAGGCACTACCTACACCGGTACGCAAAGGGACTTAGTTTGGTTCAGGACTTGGGTGTGGATGCAGGGAGTGAGACCCACCACTGGGGTCAAGCAAGCCCACCAC